GCACCACCCTGCCTGGCTGCACAGTGCAACTCTTAGAAGAAACTATCAGGCAGAAACATCATGACACTGGATCTGGTAATGAAGCCATATTATTACACCAAAGACACAGGCAACAAAAGAAGAAATAGCCCAATGGGACTTTATCAAAATTTAAAACTTTTGTGTATCGAAGGACACTATTAACAGAGTAAAAATACTTTTCTTATTGCTGAGACAAAATACCTAACAACCAAAGTTAAATGAGGAAAGGTTTATTGTAGCTTACAGTTTATAGAGATTTCAGTTAAAAATTGGCTGGCTCCAAGGCAGGGTGGCATGGGAGAGGGGCATCACAGAGGAGGAAGAGTTCATGGAAGGCAGAAGGGAGCAAAGCAGTGAAGTAGTGAAGTAGCAAAGCAGCAATGAACAGCAACAACAGCAGCTCTCTTTCTGTCCTTTATATTCTATACAGGCTACATACTCTTAGGGGAGGTGGCACTAACACCCAGGGTGGGCCTTTCCATCATCCACACCAGAACTCTGCCAAACCAATTAGTGGGCTAATTTGGTAATCACACACCCTGATCCCAGCATCACACACTGTAGATCTAGCTATTCTAGATCTAGCCTTACCTGTGACCGCATGAGGCTTTGGGGGTATCTAGACACAAGCCTTAACATAACGGAACTGGAGAAAATACTTACAAATCACAAATTCCCTTTTGGAAATCCAAAAAGGATTAATCTCTGGAAAATATAGAGAACTCAGACTCAGGGACTAAAAGCAACCCACTTCACAAATGGATAAAGGACTTGAATGGATATTTCTCCAAAGAAGATGATAAATGGCCCACAAGCACAGGAAAAGATGCTCAATATTGTGAGGAACAAGCCCCACTCATCTTTGATTACATGCAATGGATAGATCAGATCGATGAGTGGAAGAGTGCAGCGAAAGTGAGAATTTTTAAAACATTTTTTGCAAGAATGAGTGTCATCCTAACAGACTGACACACACAGAGCAGTTTTAGTGAGCAGTTTAACTCCAAGCTTGCAGTTCCCTTTTCCTTTTCCTCACTGGCTTGTGTACTATGGGGGGCACAATCTTTGTGATCAGTGCCTATATTCTTAACCTACTTCCTCTGTAAACATTTTGTGGGGTTTAAAAACAAGAGATTAAGGGCTGGGTGTGGTGGTTTATGCCTGTAATCTCAGCACTCGGGAGGCTGAGACAGGAGGATCGCTGTGAGTTCGAGACCAGCCTAGGCTACATAGTGAGTTCCAGGTCAGTCTCAACTATATAGTGAGACCCTGTCTCAAAAACAACAACAACAACAAAACAAGAGATTGCCGGGTGTCCTGGTGCACACCTGTAATCCCAGCACTCAGGAGGCTGAGGCAGGAGGATCGCTGTGGGTTTGAGACCAGCCTGGGCTACATAGTGAGTCCCAGGTCAGTCTCAACTACACAGTGAGACCCTGTCTCAAAAAAAACAAAACAAAACAAAACAAGAGATTAAGGGCCAGGGATTTAGCTCAGCAGTTTGGTGGCCTGCCTTGCAAGCACAAAGACCGGAGTTCAATCCCCGGTACCAAAAAAAAACAAAACAACCAAAAAAACAAGAGATTAAACCATAGGGGGTAACTTCTTAACTACAAGTGCTTCTCCAGTTAGAGTTAGCATAGTAAATGCCATACTTTACTATCTACCCTTCCCCCTTTGTTTAGAGACCCTATCCTGAAAATAGACCACTTTTAAATTTTTATTTCTTACAGATATTACTTTTAGGAAAGTGCAAATCAAAACCACTGTGAGCTACCATTTCATATCGTTAAGATGGCTTCTATTGAAAAACCAAACAAAGCAAAATAAAGAGAAACCAAATAGAAAAGAATTGGTGTTGGCAAATGTGGAGGAATGGGAAGCCTTTTATACTGTGCCAGAAATGTAAATGGCACCACTGTGGAAAATAGTATGGCTATTCCTCAAAAAATTAATATAGACTATGCAATTCAATTTCTGGGTTTATTATATCCAAAAGAAGTGAAAGCAGGTACTTAAAGAGGTATTCATAAACTGGACATGGTGGCACACATCAACCCCAGCACTTGAGAGACTGAGGCAGGAGGATCATTGCAAGTTTGAGGCCAGCTTGGACTAAATAGTGAGTTCAAGGCCAGCCTGAAGTAAATAGCAAGAACGTATCTCAAAAAAAAAAACAAAAAAACTAAAAGCAAACAACCTACCAAAAAGAGAGAGAGATAATCATTTACCTTTGTTCCTAGCAGCAATCTTCACTATTAAAAATTATAGGTGGCTACTGTTTTGGACTGCACTCCTACACGGGGCCCTAGCAGACCTGATTAAAAATTAAAATTATGTCATCATACCACCACACTGAGACTAAGTTGTTATTTTGACATGTTGAGAAATCAGGAGAGTGCTTCTGAGTGGGCATAATAAAGTTCCTGCACCTTTAATTCTTACCAAAAAAAAAAAAAAAC